GATTCCAATGTAATAAATTATAACCATGGAATATTAATGTTTAAGCCTTATATATTAAATTCTTGCTCTGTCTTGTACATAGAGATCTACCTGGATTCTATCATCTTGGAAATTTCTATATTGACCACTAATATTATCAATATATATATATATATATATATAATCATCCTGTATATCAGCTCATCAGTGTAGCTAGACGTCCGGTTGCCTCTAGCTAGAATCGAAACCCGGCTGAGTTGGCGTCAGTCTGACATTCTACCCCTAAGCCGTTGGCGCACGACAAGGATGAAGGTTAGTTTAAGCGTTTTTATTTTTGAATAAGCACACAATGACTGAGAGAACTCGATTCGATTTACCGAAGAGTCTTGCATTATTAGCAGTAATAGTCACTGTTTACAAACTCACACTTCTTCCCCAGAGAGCTCAACCGAAATAATTTTTTTCAGGAGCATATACATTGTCATTCACAGAAGGCTATAAGGTCCAGACTGTCCTGCTATATACCACTAGCAGGGTATAGGGAGAAGAGATCAATTCATACCATTCCGAAGGGTATTTACGCGTAAGTGAATATAAGGACCACGACTGTAATTCGAACTCGGCTCTCAGACGTCTTATTCAAAACCGCTATCCATTACACCACCCGCCATATACAGTACCTTAGGTGTCCTTACAAGCATATTTTTTTCAAATTTTCACGCTGTAGAATAATGAGTTTATTACAATATACAACTTAATACAAGCTAAAGACAACATTCATTATCCTATCTGAAACATTTTTTCTAGCCTTTAGATCTGCAAATCTTTTTATGGCCCTTTCTACGTCTATCTCATTTACAAAATCATCTTAATATTGACAAAATCGCCAAAGATTTTAATCTGTCTTGAGTGATCGATGACGACAATTATGATCCCAAACACATGACATCGGCCTTGATGACGCCACGGGCAACTGCCCGAACTGCCAGTATCTTAGGCCGGCCCTGATCATACGAGGACCAATGATTCAACATAATGTGGAAGAAACTTCTAAATCCAAACCAGCGTGCCCCGTTTTATGCAGAAAAATGATAAAACAGAAAGAATTCCAGTCAGATGTGAAAAGATCATGGCAGCGCCACACGTCTCTTCATCTCAGCAGTACTTTGGAAAATCATAGAACTGTGAAACCGGTATAGTTACTCTAAATGAATACTCTTAAGACTTCTTTTCATATATATATATATATATATATATATATATATATATATATATATATATAATTGAATATTATATACACTCAGAGGCTCTGATTGTTGCCTCCAATGTTCATTTTTATGTTTACATAAGCTCTATCTCTGATATTGAGCACTTTAACCCATAAATATAGCACACCTTAAAACTATAGTTCATATATATATATATATATATATTGTTGAAACTTGACTAATGCATGGAAAAATAATGCAACACAAAATGTACTTAGAACAAAATGTATTGAAACAAGAAAGTGTACACAATATTTACATATAATCTTTTGTATATTCCTGGTAAGACCGTTCCTGGAGAATGTGTTGACTGAGTCGCAGTCGGGCAGAGTCTCTGGTTGAATCTCTTGATTCCTGTATTTATCTATCCACCCATAAGGATAAAATGTGGCACAAGGCCGGTTTAAAATGGGTATCTCTAGCCCGTAGGCTCGGCCAAAAATATTTGGCATTTCTGAACCCGCCTAGACGGGTTCAAGGCCTGTTCTATTTACCCCGGACGAAACCCTGCCTCTCGGCAAAGCCTCGTCCGGGTCCCTCATTACAAAAATGCAGAGAGTTCGACTGAGAGTGAATCTCTTGATTCCCCCCTCTTCCCGGTAGTAGCAACTATATTTATATGGTCGGTACTCCACTATGCAAATTAGGTGGATCCTACCACAAACATATATATATATATATATATATATATATATATATATATATATATATATATATATATATTCCCATTGGCTAATTTTTGTTTTCCTCTATTTTTCTTACTTCATACCTTTCCTTTCCATTCTTTCCCTTACGTCCTTTTCTCATTTTACATTTCCTTCTGACTGATGTAGGTTTTTCAATCAGAAAAAAAAATTTCACTCAGAAAATGACGTTTCAATTTTGAAACGAAAAATTTTCCAAATCGTCTCATGCATTTATCATGTACTAATTTGTTATTGTTATTCTGCAGTGAATTTAATGAATAAATAACAATTTATTAGTATTCTATTGTGTAACAAGTTACGAGGGTCGGCTGAAAAGTTCCTAGGCTGACCAAAATACTCTTATGGAACGTGATCAAATAAGGTTTATTTTACAACATAGCACCAATGTAGTTATTAATAAAAAAAAAAGAGTTGAAATCAATGCAGACAAGATTTCACAGTAATAGCATCACTCCTTCATAGTCAGCCTATGAACTTTTCAGCCCACCCTTATACCTGGAAAGAAACAATACAGTTAATAATAAGAATAGTTGAAATTAATGCATACAAGATTTCACGGTTCTAGTATCAATCCTTCATAGTCAGCCTATAAACTTTTCAGCCCATCCTCGTACCTGGAAAGAAAGAATGCGGTTATTAATAAGAAGAGTTGAAATGAATGCATGCAAGATTTCACGGCTCTAGTATCAATCCTTCCTAGTCAGCCTATGAACTTTTCAGCCCACACTTGTATTTTATAGAGAAAAAAAAAAAAATTTTAAATACTTCCTGCCTCCCATCATCATGGTTGATGCTAATTTCCATGACATTGACTCTTTGCGACTTCTTGGGATGACATTCTCAGATATTGAATCCATTGCTAGATCTGTCGCTGAGAAAGTTGGTTCGCTGTGTGGTGCGAGACAATTTCTCTCTCCAGAATCTATCTTACATATTTATTCGTCAATGCTTTGAATATTGCTGCCAAATATGGTCCGGTGCTCCTGCTACTTATCTAGAGATTCTTGATAAAATCCAAAGAAGAATCAGCAATAACATTGGTCCCAACCTGGCATCTCGGCTTCGTTCAATTTCCCACCGCCGTAATGTAGCTTCCCTGTGCCTTTTCTATAAATACTTTTGTGGTAATTGTTCGGATGAATTCTTTGTTATTTTATTCCTCTCCCTCTACAGACAATGATTTTTAAATATGGCGACTAGTTATGACTTTCATAGAGACAATGAGGTATTATGGTGAATGTAGTAAGAAAGGTAAGTAAGAATGCGTTGTTTTGTGTTAGGAATATTGTGGTATGTTTGGTCAGTGTTTGCGGCTAGCTAAATTTAAATTTAAGACAGAAGAAGACCGTCCTTTTCCCCGTTCTCCATTTTGGCATTGTGTCATATTTTGTAATTTTTACAAATAAATACCACCCTTTGCTATGGTACCTAGACTTTATAAATTTAAGCAGAGTACTAGATTGTCGGCAAAGTCTCGTCAATTCACAATTGAAATGGCTAAATGTAACCGTAAGTTCTATTCTAAGAGTTTCTTCTCTCGCACTTCTTGCTTGTGGAACTTTCTCTGGCTTCGTTCTTTCCAGACAGCTTTGATTTTCAAAAATTCAAATGCTATCGTTATCTACTGTCCTCTTGATTACTCTTCTATTGTTCTCGCTCCTTAATAATGTTTTTCTTTTACACTCGGTAAACACCCTTGTGTCTGAGTGGCTTTACTGTCTTGCCTGAGGTTAAGTCATTTTTTTTTTAATACTTAAAGTTTTGAATTATTTCATTTGAAATTTTGGAAAATCTTTCGTATTTTTTTTTATTTGTTTTTATTTATTTATTTATTTATTTATTCTTCCCGCCTATTTTTGCACGCCTGAAAAATCCCTTTTTTCATCGTACGGAATCACTAACTTAAGAAATCGTGAACAAGACGTGAAGGAACAGAAGTAAGCGAAGCGAGATAGGGAAAGAGAGAGAGAGCGTATTAGTCGATTTTGTTGACACAGACTGTCATTTAACGACCTCTGGCCAAAGGTCGTTTCTTAAGCTAGAGGTAAATCGTTTCCTGAGAGAAGGGTTCGAAAACAGGTGTCTACTTTAACGGATTATGGGATTCAAGAAACAATTGGACAGTTTCTTTAGGTGTTGTCTAAATAAGCTTAACAAAGAGCGCACGGTTTACGTTAGCTGGAGTGGGCAAGAGATTTCAGAAGATTACTTCAGTTAAAAGGGAACGGAAACACATAAAAGTTCTCGACACAGCTGGAAGTGTATATTCGACCGAAGTGCGGGCGAGTAAACCTAATTTTATGACAAAAAGGGAAGGTAAATTTAACGAAACCACTTTTGAATTATTTCTCGCTTAAGATATAATAAACCTTTATTTTATTTTTTCATAAACTTATTGAACCGATTTACGGTCGGTTTGGGTCGCTTACCTAAGGTTAATTAATGTCGGAAGGCCTAAAAATGACAATAAGAAAACGAAAAGAAAAGGCTTCTTTTTTAAAAACCTTATTTTTGTCTATTTTATTTTCTATTCGTTTTTCCTTCTCTGCCTTTCCTGCTCATTTTTCTCATTGTATTTCATTATTGGTTCCTTATCATCGTCTTTCACGTATCAAACAATCATCATACAATAAATGGGATGATAAAGAAAAAGACAGATAACTTGTAGGGATATTAAGTATATTTTAATGTCCCTGCGGAATATCTATCTATCTATCTATCTATCTATCTATCTATCTATCTATCTATCTATCTATCTGTCTGTCTGTCTGTCTGTTTGTCTATCTATCTCAGTTAATTATCTATCTATCTATCTATCTATCTATCTATCTATCTATCTATCTATCTATCTATCTCAGTTAATTATCTATCTATCTATCTATCTATCTATCTATCTATCTATCTATTTGTCTGACTGTCTGTCTATCTCAGTTAATAATCTATCTATATATCTCAGTTATCTATCTATCTATCTATCTCAGTCAGTTCATTATCTATCTATCTCAGTTAATTATCTATCTATCTATCTATCTATCTATCTATGGACTTACGGCCACATCACGTTGAAAAACAGGTTCCCGTACGATTACTGAAGTTAAGCAACGTCAAGCCTGGTCAGTAGCTAGATAGGTGATCGCCTGGGAATACCATGTGCTGTAAGCTTGGGTATGCGAGTCGTGTAATGGCTCGGAATTGTTAATCGAGGAGGCAAGTTCCAGTTCCCTTTGGGTTCATTATATTCATTTATGCACAAATACCTTTGAGAATAAGTATGAATCCACCTCTTCTCCCCCTGCTATGGCTTAATTCGTAAAACTTTTATCACTAAACCATTATCTCCGCACCCCACCAAAAAATATTTACAATCTAAAAATATTTTCTGGCTTTAAATAGCTGCAAAAGGTTGATAAACTGTACAAAACCAATCAATCAATCAATCTCTGTCTATATATCCATCTATCTATCGATTCTCATTCTTTTCTTTCTTTCTTTCTTTCTTTCTTCTTATTATTAGGCTTTCTTTTTCTCACTTAAACGAAACAGCTTCTCTGATATATCTTTTTCTTCCGCCTTTCCACGCAGTCAAAACGGAATGGTTCATTATTTATCTGGGGTAATGGCAAGGTGTAACAAGACGCAGAGGCCAGCATAATCATTATAGCATATTATCATTTTGGTTATTATACTCATAACGTCTCGGCTGTCGTAATATTTGGCCTTCTTTAGGAATCTATCGTCGTACTTAGTTTACTTTCTTTTGAACCGAGTTTATTTCCTCGGGCGTGGGGGGGGCATGATGTGACACGAGATTTTCTCTTTTTAGGTGTGGTTGGCTTCGGCCAATGCAAGAAATTACCCACTCCTCGCGACCACTGTCACACTGTCGTCGATATTACACTGATCCCCTCTCTTCTAGTGCAATGACGGAGGTGCTGCTGTGGTGACTGGAAGCCATGTGATCAGGAGTATTCCCCATTAATTATAAGAACAACGATGACAACAGACACTTGCAAAAGGGCTCGAATAAGGACAACCCACAGAGGTAGATTTTTACAGTGATGCTCACGCTATACAAGGCCCAAGAGCTACTCGAGGTAGAGGGTTACGGAAGAAGAGACACAGGGAAGATATCAGTTAATCTTAGACTTGAACAGGTTAAAATAATAGTAATCAAGAAAACACCCTCTTGGGAGTCCGTTCAACAGATCATAGGTTCGCGGAAATAAGTTGCTGCAGTGGAACTGTATCAATCTCAGTCAGTCCCTTATCTATCTATCTATCTATCTATCTATCTATCTATCTATCTATCTATCTATCTCAATCGGTCCCTTATCTATCTATCTATATATATATATATATATATATATATATATATATATATATATATATATATAGCATCACTGTAAAAATCTACCTCTGTGGGTTGTCCTTATTCAGGCCCTTTTGCAAGTGTCTGTTGTCATCGTTGTTCTTATAATTATCTATCTATCTATCTATATATATATATATATATATATATATATATAGATAGATAGATAGATAGATAGATAGATAGATAGATACATACATAGATAGATAGATATGAACAGCTAAATAACAGATGGATAAATCAAGTGCCCGCCTATTAAAGATAGATAGATAGATAGATAGATAGATAGATAATGGACTGACTGATATATATATATATATATATATATATATATATATATATATATAGAGAGAGAGAGAGAGAGAGAGAGAGAGAGAGAGAGAGAGCGAAAGAGATAACATTGCATATAAATTTATATAAGCTCCCAAGATGATTCAGTAATATTATTGGTCCTGGTCTGGTGGCTCGGCTTCAGTCACTTTCGCACTTTCTATAAGGTTGCCTCCCTGTTTCTTTCCTACAAATCCTTTTATGATAATTGTTCGGATGAGCTCTTCACTATGGTACCTAGAGTTTTTGAATTTAAGTGCAGTATTAGACTGGAGTCGAGATCTCATCAATTTACAGATGAATCTACCAGATGTAGCCGTAAGTTCTATTCTAGCAGTTTCTTTTCCCGCACTTCTCGCTTGTGGAACTCCCTTCCGGCTCCATGCTTTCCAGCCAACTTGTTTCTGCAAAAATTTATATGTAATGTTAATGTCTACTGTCGTCCTGATTACACTTTTCTCATCCCGCTCATTATTAATGTTTCTGTTCCTAATTCTCCCACACCCAGTAACCCCTTGTGGTATTACTGCCTTGCATGGGGTGATACCTTCGTATTCTATTCAATAATGGAATACAAAACGTGTGGGTGTCAGTGCTTCGCTACAATATCTGTAGTGTGGCTGGTCTTAGCCCTGAAGGTTAGCATTTCGCTTTCTGTGATTAGGGATATTTGATTTGTACCAGTCATATTACGCTTTGTCACTGTTTATTCCACTGAACAAGAATATGTTATTTCAGCACTACCGAACCCGGGAATTGAACCTAAAACTACCAAGAAACCAGATATATTTTGACCAACGCTTTAATCCAGTAGGACAAAAATGAAAACATTCCGAAAAGGTTACCGGCTACGACGATAGACAGATGAAGACGACCGAAGATTAGCGCCACACGTGATACACGCGTAGGCGATCATGTATCTTTTGATACATGACGAAGCAGATATATAGATAATGAACTGACTGCGATATATAGATTCTGAAGAGAAAATTTATCTCGCATGTAATGATGATGGGATGGCATTTTGTAAGTGAAGGGGAGAAGAGGATTCATACCTTTCCCAAGGGTATAAGCACGTAAGTGAATGTAATGGATTCGACTGGAATTCGAACTCGGCTCTCCGATTCCTCAGTCCGAGCCGCTATCCATTACTCCACCGTGACCGGAAAGCACTGTGGCTAAAAAGTTATGAATATCACAACTAAGACGAGCATGCTGGCGTAAGAAGTAAAAGTGTCTTTCTTTCTTTCTTTCTTTCTTTCTTTTTTTTTTTTTTCTTTCCTTGGCGCTTCTCTGTGCCATTAAGTCGTGGAAAGTTCACCGAACAGTACAAGTTACCATATAACACTGTACGACCTGTCTCATATTACATGGTGATGGGATGGGCACTTTCAAGTAACCTCCGCATGCTCTATCGGATCGGGCATGGTACCCTGATAGTACCCCAAAAATAATGGGGACCAGCCCATGAAGAATATTGTCACAGATGTCTTCATAAAACATTAATTAAGTTTAAAGCAACAAAGAAGTAGAAATTAATATCACCTCGCTGTTGAGTATTTTATGCGATACACATTGCGTGAAATCTTTACAAAAATAAACTAACATTCAATTAAGCTGAAACATTGAACAGCAAAGTACGAATCTTACCATTTATTATAATAGTCAATTGATAAATGATGTCATTAATCCAATTAAAGTTTGAAATCAGAACGTTCTCAGGTGACATGAAGTGGAAAGATTATATGGAATCTATTGTTGTGAAAATTGGTTCATTGTGTCATGCGAGATATTTTTTTTATCTCCAGAATCTATCTACGTATTTTAGTAAGTTCATTATCTATCTATCTATCTATCTATCTATCTATCTATCTATCTATCTATCTATCTATCTATCTATGTGTATCAATTGATTATCTATCTATCTATCTATCTATCTATCTATCTATCTATCTATCTCAGTTCATTATCTATCTATCTATCTATCTCAGTTCATTATCTATCTATCTATCTATCTATCTATCTATCTATCTATCTGTATCAGTTCATTATCTATCTATCTATCTATCTATCTATCTATCTATCTATCTATCTATCTATCTATCTATGCCAGTTCATTATCTATCTATCTATCTATCTATCTATCTATCTATCTATCTATCTATCTATCTGCTTACGGCCATATCACATTGAAAAACAGGTTCCCGTACAATCTGCCATTCGTCCATGCTTAGAATATTGCTGCCACATATAGTCCGGTGCCACTGCTACTTACCTGGAGCTCCTTGATAAGTTCCCAAGAAGAATCAGCAATATTATTGGTCCTAATCTGGTGGCTTGGCTTTAGTCACGTTCCCACCGACATAAGGTTGCCCCTCTGTCTCTTTTCTATAAATACTTTCATGGTAATTGTTCGGATTTGCTCTTTGCCATGCTACTTAGAGTTTTTTTTTTTTTTTTTTTTTTTTTAATTTAAACGCAGTAGTAGACTAGCATCAAAAATAAAGTAAATTTATTGCCCTTTAGAATTACAAATTTATTTTCTAAAACTGTACCTGTTTTGCGATACACATTGTCCAAATATTCCATCTTTTCCCACGTCATCGAATAGAAAAATGGTTGACCTTATAACACTTCTTTCAATTTCGGAAAGGACCAGAAGTTTGGTGTGGCCAAAAACTCCAAAAATGTCTAAAGGCCTCTTCAAGCATGCCAAAGTAATTCTTCCTTTTTTTCATACCATTTTATTCGAGTATCTTTTAGAGCTTTGTTCGCAAAATATGAAATCTCTATCTGTCGGAAGCTATTAAATATAAATAAAAACGTGTCATGTTTTCTACATTACAAAGCAACGAACACTAGCTTTTACATATAGATAAGTAAAGGTGAAGTGGTGTACTAATTAAGCAAGCCATGATTTTTAAAATTATTTAACCCCAAGCAAGGCAATAAAGCTACTAAGACGCAAGGTGTGACTGAGTATGAGATAATATGAGAAGAAAGAAAACATTATTAAGGAGAGAGAACAATAAAAGAACAGGAATTAAGAAGACAAAAGATAACGATTAACATCGCGTATCAATTTTGAAGACTAAAGTTGAACGGAGATCAAGAAGTTGGAAGAGAGTCCCACAAGCGAGATGTGCGTGAGAAGAAAGTGTTAGCATAGAGTTAGATCCTCACTAGGTGCTCTATACGTAATACCTTGAGTCAGACAAAATTTAGCTTAATATATACGAATAGCAGTAATTTTAATTTTTATCATTAATGAATATTTTTCATATCTGACGCTATGAATTCTTCCTCGCTTTTCTCAGTTGACATAATTATTAAACAAGAGATCGTATTTTTATATTGACTTATACACGGGTTTGTACAGTGCTTATATTAATACTGTTTTAGAATACCAAAGATTCTACGAAATCCAACATTGCGTTAATATTTCATCCTTATTTTCGCGA